CAGACCTACCACTCCATGATGATGAGGAGGCACTTCTTGCCGTGGTGCATGTTCTCGTACAGCGCCAGGATGCGCACGATGTACGGGCCGCCGGACACGCGCCAGTGCAGCTCCACCTCGCGCCGCGCCTTCGGGCTGTCATACAGGATCTGTGGGCGAGAGCGCACCCACGCATCAGAGCCCCCGCCCAACCTCACCGCCCCCCTGCAGCTGGAGTCCCGGGCCGGGCTCTGTGACCGTCCCGCAGGCCGACAACGGCAGTGTCTACAGAGCTGGAGCGGCTGACCTGAGCCCTGCTGGCCAGCTGACTGGACAAGCGGACTCGTTCAGGGGCCTTCTGGATCACAGACAAGAGGATCCTTCACCTCTCCAAGAACAGAGCCCCCCTCAGCAAAGTACTTCCCTCAACAATAACTTGATCACTTGCAAATGGTCAGAATCGTGGGGGACCTGGAAGAATGTGGACTGGGGCACCCCAGGACCAGGGCTGGAGTCCCTCTCTGTCTATTTGTGTGTGTGTTGCTGTGTGCGTGTGTGTAGGAGTGCGTGCATGTGTGTGTTTGTGTGTGCATGTGCAGATGTGCAAGTGTGTTCATGTGTGTGTGTAGATGTGAGTGTAAGTATGCAGGGGTGCATGTGTGTGTGTGTATGTAGGTGTGTGTGTGCGATGCCCCTCTCTAACTGATGGGGACAGCAGGCACAGGCCGCACACTCCCCTCCTCCCAGAATAGGAGCAGGGCCGCGAGCAGGTATTTCTGGACCGCCCCCCACCCCCACAGGAAACACAGCCCCCCCGCCGGCCCGGAGAGCAGAGAATATATATATATATTTATAGAGGGGTTTATCTTTCCACACAGGAAACACCCACAGCTCTGGTGTCACTCGGACTCGGAGGGGGGGTCAGCGACGCACACCTGCCCCCCCCAGTGTGACAGCGACACCTGGCCAGCCTGTCCCAGCGCTGCTCCTCTCCCGGGGTCTTTCCGCTGGGCGGCAGTGGCCCTGGCGCGCTGTCTCCTTCCGTGACGAGAGAGCAGCTGGCGGGGTGCAGCGGGCGCGGGCCGTGATTCAGGCTGTAGAGGTTGCTGGGCAGACACCGGCAGTGTTTACACACAGTCCCCAGCCAGTCTGCCTGCCCCGGAGCTCCTTAGAGCTGGAAATCATCTTCCACCAGTTTATTGCGGAAAATCCAGGCTGCATTTTCCTTTGCTTTGGCGCAGTTCCCAGCTGGGGGGGCGCTGTGCTCTCCACACTGCCCTGGGCTTCTCCTCCAGAACCCACTTCCTCGCGCCAGCACACAGGAAACACTGACCACACAGACAGGCCTCTGGGAGGGACACTGGGAGAGGGCACCCCAGTTAGAGCTCAGTGACACTGAGAGGGCACCCCAGTAAGAGCTCTGTGACACTGGGAGAAGGCACCCCAGTAAGGGCTCAGTGACACTGGGAGAAGGCACCCCAGTAAGGGCTCAGTGACACTGGGAGAAGGCACCCCAGTAAGGGCTCAGTGACACTGGGAGAAGGCACCCCAGTAAGGGCTCAGTGACACTGGGAGAAGGCACCCCAGTAAGGGCTCCTAGAGGAGCCCTGTGTGAGCCCTCAGTGTTGGGCTGGAGGTCAGGATGGGGGCAGGATATTTATAAACACACAGCCTGATCCCGGGGGGGCTGGGAGAGATCGCTTTCCCAGGAACACAGAGCCTGGAGCTCCACCAGCTCCAGGTCCAACCCTTCTCAGGAGGACAATCTGACTTATTGTTTTGTCTTCAGCTACCAGGCACTTAGTTTACTTGCTCTTTAACGCGTGAGCTTCCAGCTGCTGTGCAGGTGCAACGGCAGCACATTGGATTAACAGCAAGACCATTCAATTAATCAACTAATCAATTTTAAAACCTTCAATCCTTCGCTGAGACGGACTGGTGCCCCATCCAGGGCGCACCCTGCCTTGTGCCCGCTGCTTGCTGGGATAGACCCTGGCTCTCCCACAACCCTGACCTGGAAGAAGCGGTCAGAGAATGGAGGGGAGGCCGGAGGGGATCTCCTCCGCTGGCGCTGCGATCGCGGCCAGGGCAGCTGCTGCTGGAGCAGGCTGGCAGAGGTCCAGCTGGAAAGAGCAACACAGCGAGCGAGTCCTGCTCTGAGCCGCGAAGATGGCCGTCTTCCAGACCAGATTAAATCCGGAACGCGTGCCAACTTCCGTTAACCAGCTCTATCGCTCACCGTGCTTAATTAAAGAGAGTTTTGGCTGGACAGCAGCCTCCTCCATCACCTCCTCTCCCCTGCGGCTGCCAGGAAGCAGAGAGGGGCCCAGGGGGGGGCGAGGGCCCAGCGGGGGGGCCGGGGTGACGCCTGCAGGCTGGCCCACGGCAGAACTGGACAGAGGCCTCTGGGATGAGGAAGGGAAGGAGAGGAGACACAGCCCCACTCCGGCCCTGACCTGTCCCCTGCAGAGGAGGGGTGACTGTGCGGGGTGCCCCCCCAGACGCTCACACGGGATGGCAGGGGCGGACACTTGGCCTTCCCAGGAACAGGGCTCGATCCGGGCGAGCCAGCATGCCCTATGGGAATGGGAAATTCCTACGGGGGCTGTGGGAGCAGCTCCGAATGCTCTGCCTCTCCGAGCTCCTGTAGGAGCTGTAACACACACACCTCCACACCTGCGCACAGCTGGGCTTCCTCTGGAGGCAGGAGTGCGGCACGACACCGGGGGTGGACAGCCAGCGCACACAGAACAGCTGCAGAACCCAGCGGGCCGGTTTCATCGCCACGAGTCTCGCTGTGAGCCCCTGTGCGGAGAGGGGGCTGTGGGGGGCTGCGCTGTTCCTGCTGCTCTGCAGGCGGCTGGCGCCCCGAGCGCCTTTCAGCGGGGCCGCGGTCACATGTGGGGAATTCGGCTGACCTGTGAAATCTGTGCAGCCGAGAGGAAAGTCACTGTCCGCGGCCGGGCTACAGACCGGTTCGGTCCTGAGCCTCTCTGCTGTGCCCCCCTGCTCTGGCGGTCACCAGCACCGCTTCGGGACGAACCCGTGGCACTGGCGCTCCTGCTGTCCTGCACCAGCGTCCGGGCCCTGAGCAGGGCCCTGCTGGTCACTCGGGCTGCCCGAGAGGACATCTGGACACAGGGCTGACCGGACACACAGCAGCCTGCAGGCAGAGGGAGCCCTGATCCCCGAACCCATGGCCTTGACAGACTCCTCCGGGTTTGGACTTCAGTTTCCTATTTAGACCTTCATTCTTTGCTCGGCTGGACAGAGCTGATACGGTCTCGGCCCCCTGCGACAGTTCAGGAAGTGTGGGCACAAATAAAACCGAGGATCGTGGGGGTCTGGGATAAACTCCTCAGCCGCACTGCTGCTGCTGACTCGGCAGATCTTCGGAGAATCGGCTTGCAGGGATCAGGGTCCCGCTAGCCGCCAGGGCGGGGGGGGCTGCCCAGCCTCCTCTCAGCTGCAGCCCTTGCTGCTCTCAGACTGGACCCTGGCCGGGTCACCCCCCCACCCCCAGCTGGCACGCCGACCTCTCCCCCTGCTGTGCCCTCTCGAGCTCCTGGCCACACCACTGCGGGCAACAGGAAGCTCTTCAGCCGGACCGCCCCGAAGAACCAGCGAGCTCCACAGTCCTGTTCGCTGTGTGTACAATGACACCGCATCCCAGCTGGATAACCTCCTTCCCATCAGGGGGCATGGGCACAGCTCCGCAGCACACAATCCTGAACCAATCCCTGAGGAGTCACACAGTGCCTTCAGACGGAAACTGGCCAAGCACCTGGCAGAGGCGAAAGGGCAGATTCCTCAAGGGAGTTCGGGAAGGCGTTCCTGTCAGGAACATGGCAGAGCCCTGGGGACAGGCGAGAGTGAGTCGGGCCACGTAGAGCTTCGCCTGCAGAGCGGACGTGCGGGACCCCTCTTTCTGCGTCTGCAGGCCCTGAAGGGGAACCCCGGCAGTGCGATTATTGCACCTCATGATCCCCCTCTCTCCTCCTGCTCCAGTGGGAATAACCTACAGACAAGAGCCCCGCCCCCCAGTGCAGCCACCACGCCCCCTGGCACAACAGCACAGCCATGTAGCACAACCGCCCCGCCCCCATTCTGCGGATGACACGCCCCGTTGTGCCGCGGCCCTGCCCTCTGGTGAGAGCGCCCCGCCCCCGGCACACTCACTTCTCTGTGTGACATGTCTGCAAGAACCACGTCACTGCCTCTTTCAGACAACCTCTGCACAACAGATAGCGGTATACAAGATGCTGCGGCGAGCACAAATGTATTATCCGCTCACCCAGTCCAGGGAAGCTTCAGCAAACGCGGCTGGACCTTTCCTTCCACGTGATCGACCGCGACAGGTGGTGACACGGCCGTGACGTCACCGCCCGCTCCGTGGCTCTACACCCACGCGGCGTGACGCGCGCGGAGAGGGCTCTGATTCTGACGCTAAGCCGAGCCGCGAGGAGCACGACGGGTTCACCCTTGACCCCGGGTCATTCCTGGCGTCCGGAAATAAAGCCCCCCTCTGCAAGTGACTCTGTCAGACCCCCCTCCCACCTCGGAAACTCGCACGGCGAACACGGCCACGAGGGCTCTGACCTCAGCGCCCTCCGTGGGACCTCCCCTCGACTCGCGCTCTGTTTTTACCGAGCCCGGCTCCGCTGCCTGTAATAACCTCTCTCCGCTCTCACGGAGGTGCCATCAGTGCCACCTGCAGGTATGGAAACTCCTTCTACATCGCCGGCGCCAGCTAACTGGGTCTCGGCCGGGAACGCGCTGAGCAGATGACAATAACATGCCCCCCCATGTAGGCAGCGTGTTTGTAAAGCAGCGCTATCGGCTCTGGCGGTGCCCAGTCCGAAAAGGCCCCCGACCCGTCCGAACCGGCCTCACGGTACCTTCAGGGCGCACTTGTCGCCGGTCCTCTTGTCGGAGCACTCCAGCACCCTGCCGTTGATTCCCAGCCCCAGCACCTGGCTGGACACCTTGTAGTCGTCCGTCACCGCGTTCCTCCTGAACTCCAGCTTGGGGTGGCCGGGCAGGGGGAAGAGAGGGGGGCTGGACACGGCCGAGGACAGCGCACTGCCGTCGCTCGGGGTCTGGGTCGGGTTCGGCGGGTCCGCCTGCGGTTCTGGGGGTTTCTCCTGCTCGTTCCCGTTGCTCATCTTGCCGGAACGTGTTGAACACACGCGCTCGCTCACAGCGGGAATTTGAAATGTATCTGTCCAGGCTGGGGGTAAAATAGACAAACTCGGAGGAAACTACCAGCAAACCGGAGCCTAAGCCAGTATAAGAGAAGAGAAAGAGTCGATTTACTACAAATCGACACCTTGAGGTGTCGGACGAACCGGCCTTCGGTCCTCTCGCCGTCCCTGTGTAACAGGTCGTCAGCAACTCCGCCGCCTGCCAGGCGCGTCCTCGGCGGGTCGGCTACGGCTCGTTTTCCTTTCTTTCCTTCTGATTAATCCATAGCGGGGGTCCGGAGTCCTGCCCCCCGCAGCCGCGGGGCGCCCGGAGCGGCCGAGCGTGCGAGATGACCGTCCGAAACCAGAGACACCGACTGGCGTTCACAAGCTGTTCCAACTTGACATTAAAATTAAAACAGTTCACAAAGGTCACCGGTTTCAGTTTACTTGCGAGTGAAACAAAAACAAAATAAAACGCTGGATACCTGGAGCTCAGTATACAATGTATAATCTACCCAGTTATGGTCTAAAAACCGGAGAAAGGGACTCCTTCCGCGGGGCGGCTGTCCCGTCTATTGCGGGAGAGCCCCCGTGTGGGATCCGGACGCGCACGCAGGAGTGTTCCGCGACCCCACGGCAGTCCCACGGCTCGGCTCGGCTCGGCGGGACGCGGACGAGCGCTGGGACTCTCGCCGGCTGGACTCTGCGAGTCCTCCCCCACGTCACCAGCGATGACTTCAGCCTCGGAAAAGGTCTTTATCTCTTAAAGGCGCAGCGCAGGGCCCGGCGGCTCCTGCCTTACCCGCAGAGGACGACCTGGGAGAAAATGTCCTCATGCCTGTCCGTGCACTACAGCCCCGCAGCGACCCGCCTCCCCCGGCCACCCCCCTCCCCGCCCCGACCCGGGCTGAAGCAACAGCGGTTTCCTCGGCAGCGCACCGAGGAGCTGCAGCGACAATAAAAAAAAAAAACGACACAACGTGTTGCGCAAGGAAGTTGAAAAGCGGGGCTTTGGACACGAAGAAACGCGCTGCTAGTGTCGCTGCCGCCTCCCGGGAGAGAGACGCGAAGCGAAGCCATGAGCGATGCGCTTTGAGAGCGGCCGAAGACACCGGCGTGTCCGGGACAGGACTGGAGCCTCAGTCAGCCCTGCGCCCCGCTCGCCGAGAGGGGGAGAGCGGCCTTTACTATAGTATCTACTGTATTACTATAGGCCTGTACCTTTCTTGCAATTTAACCAACGCAGTGTGTTTCTTCGCTCAGTGCATCTTGTATGTCCTCTCCAGAAACAGCTGGACCAGATCCCAGGATCAATCAGCTACTGCCTACTAAACCGGCTCGAATAATTAATAATAATAATGATTGCTTATACTTATATAGCACTTTTCTGGACACTCCACTCACAGCGCTTCACAGGTAAGGGGGATCCCCTCCACCCCCACCAGTGTGCAGCCCCACCTGGATGATGCACCAGTCCTCTCACACACACCAGCTCTCAGTGGGGAGGAGAGCAGAGGGATGAAGCCACTTCAGAGAGGGGGGTTATTAGGAGGCCATGATTGGTAAAGGCCAGGGGGGGGGGAGATTTGTCCAGGACACTGGGGTAACACCCCTACTCTTTTCGAGAAACACCCTGGGATTTTTAATGACCACAGAGAGTCAGAACCTCAGTTTTACGTCTCATCCAAAGGACGGCGCCTGTGTACAGTACAGTGTCCTCATCACTACACTGGGGCATTAGGACCCACATGGACCGCAGGGTGAGAGCGCCCCCTACTGGCCCCACTGACACCTCTTCCAGCAGCAGCCTCAGCTTTCCCAGGGGTCTCCCATCCAGGTACTGACCAGGCCCACACCTGCTGGGCTCCAGTGGGTTACCAGTTGTGAGTTGCAGAGTGATGTGGCTGCTGGCATAGAAGGACTGAATGATCTCCTCTCTCCTGGAAACGTTTTGAATGGTGTCTGTTCTCGGTGTTTCTGTGCTTCACCGCTTCGCCGCTCTCGAGATGGGTCCCCTTCGCTAGATCATGGAGGCCAGGGGTCAGTGCTGTGGGGGCTGTGGTGGTGTGACTAACTGCAGGAACCTGCTCACTCACCCTGGAGCTGTGCAGCGGCCCCGGCGTTGTGCAACGGAGAGGTTAGTCATACTTACAGGCTGTGTTGCTTTCAACAAGCCTGGGGCAGGGACTCTTACTCTTATGACGTCCAAACACACCGCAGGCCGAGAGGGTGTCAGAACTGGACTATGGGGTAGGCCAGAACCGGGCCTGTAGCTCTGCGCGGACACAGGGGCTCCTCCTGTTTGTTTTAAAGTGCTGACACCACACCTTGGGAGACCTGTGCAGGTGACATACAGTGTACGCAGACGTCACAGCTGAGTTAAAAAGATGGAGTTGTGGGCTGTTTTTCTTCTTACTCTTGCCTAGCCACAGGGGGGTGCTGTTGCAGCAATCCAAACATATTTTGGCTATCTCTAGCCCTCCCACACCTAGGCTAGTTGCTCCTCCACTGGAGAATCACTGTCTTAATCAATTAAGGGCATAGAGCTGACTTGAACCAAGCAACTGGACGACAGTGCGAAAATTGTTTTAAAAATAGCTACAACATTTACAACACCTGAATATCATGTGTAAAAGAATCTGCTGTGCCTGTTATCCCACCCTTTCCCTAGTGCCTCAGCCTTGAGCAATGAGCTTTTCTTGTAAACGCTTTGTAAGACGTTACGCAAGCCTGTCATGCCAGGAAAGGAGGCTTTGAGCTGCAGCGAGTCAACACTGAGCTGGCACAGGCTGACATTCCTGGACAGATGACCCGAGGAGAAAAGAAAGTGCACTGTCATTCTGCACATCCACAGGAAGGAGGGAGACAAAAGGAGAAGCGGAACGCGCATGTGGCCGAGCTGGCGCAGAGCTCGTTCAGGCCTGGCTGCTGTACTGCGGCAGTTTGCAGTTGCAAAGCCCAGGCCTGTGTCTCTGTTCCCTCAGCACTTCCAGGTCCCTCTGCTGGCGTCACGTCCCAGGAAACCTCACTTGAAATGAGCTTGCATTTTAAAACCAACTTACTGCCATATTCGAAAACAGAATGCACCATGTCTCCCTACTAGAATATCTAGGATTCTGTCATTTTGGCTGTTCTCTTCCAGCCTGTGAAAGAGGGACACTTTAAAGAATGGCAGCTTCCTGCTCCTCGCTCCCTCCCTCATCACAGCCCCAGCGCCAGAGGGCAGGAGGGACGATTACACGGGCAGAGGAGCCCGGTGCTTCCACAACAACTGGATCCACTGTTCTGGAACCCCTCCCTCCCCAAGCAGCACAGCTGGAGCATGAAGCAGAGTGGTACAGGACCGGAAGAGCAGAGCTCCTCGCCTCTGACCAGCCCTGGGCTCTGTAGCAAATCCAAACGCAAACGCAAACGCAAACGCAAACACAGCCTTCCTGCACTATGACGACCACGCACGGCGGCGTCTCTCTCGAACGTGTGGCAGGGCGAGGAAACCGATATCAGCTGGTGTTTGGTTGTCAGGGCTGCTGTCATGCGGGAAGGGCCTCAGTAATTTCCACTCCTTGCTCTTTGTGCTGTCTGACTCTAATTGGGTTTGTGGCAGTGGTGCGTGAGCAGCCCCAAGTGTCAGTAATCTAATTGTCCCGACTGGATCGAAGGTTAAATTGCAGATCTGGAATGGCCTAACGTAGCAGGAATTGTCTTAAAAGCAGAGGCTCTGCATAGACGAGAGGAGGGTGCCTTTCTCGAACAAAGAAAAAAGAAGAATGTAGATCTCCATATTGAGAAGACTCTCTGGTCACCTCTGGGGTAACAAGTACCACATGTCCATCCCCTTTCCGAGAGTTGGCTCTTATTCCAGACCTGCTGGTGATAAACTGCAGCTGCAGAATAATTGCAGAAAATTTATTATAAACTTTTAAAAAAATCAGAGACACCAAGGAACTGCAGTTGGGGGGGAAGGTACTGCACACAGTACAAGCAGACAAAGTTACTGCCTCTGAATACTGGAATATAGAAGCTGTCAACACGCAGTTCCTAAAGCAGTTGTAGAATATCTTAGTAATTAATTTCCCCATCTGAAAAAGAATAATATTTATGAGATGTAAAATCTACTTGAATGATTCTGTCAGCTATAAATAAGACTAATGGTCAAAAGACCAAACAGCAGCTGGAGTGACACTGAGTGTCCTGAGCAGCCTCAGGCTGCTCAGGCCTGTAACAGGGGGCGCTGTGCCTCAGGCCTTGGGCTGCTGCTCACCTCAAGTGTCTTTCAGGACAGGGTAGCCGAAGTGCTTGAAGAGCAAACCAATGAGCTCAGCAGAGCTAAAAATAACATCTTTGTATAGATGTCAGAAATACAGGCTGCTGGGCTGCAGTACACTGCAAACTCAGATTAACAAAAACAATAAAGTTACTGTACATCCTTTTGCAACAATATATTGGTTTACAGTGCATAACAGTCTAGATTCCTCCTTTTTCCAACCTGGAAACCACAATGCTCTGTGCAAACACTGCCCAAAATACTATATTCTTTACAAATATTGGAATCTATAAAAAAAAAAAATCAAACTAAATAATCTGACGATAACCTTTATGTTTTTGCGTGTTTTAATGTTGGCACAAAAGCCCTCCTCATGCTGCCTCCCTTAATAAGCCCTGTATCTGAAACTTATTTAAATTGCTTCTGGGTGATAGGAAAACCAGTGGAGAGTACAGAGTCTCTGCGCAGTGCTGCACAGGTGGGAGACGCGCTGATGGGTCTAGTAGTCCAGGGCACAGATGAGCGCCACCCCTCGCTTGATCCAGTGTCTTTGCAGTTTGTCGGTGGGCAGCTCCACTGCGATGACATAGTTGGTGGAATGACCAGTGGTGGACAGAGTCCCTGCAAGAGAAACAGGAGCAGCTCAGAGCAGAGGCCCTCAGGCCCAGGGGCTGAACTCAGTACAGAAACAACTGCCCACGACCTACAGAGTGTTAAAAGCAACTGACACATTTCAGATTTCCGATACATGACGGCACGGAGAGCACCGTGAGATCATGCAGCTCCTTCCGGTTAGGCAGGGCTGCTTCAGGATCTCACTTCCAAGTGTGAAAGTAGATCCCAAGGCACTCAGTGGGGGGAAGATGAGGGGTTGTTGCGACAGGAGAGAGGGAGAGAGAGGAGGAGTGAGAGAGACTCGAGGTCGAGGAGAAGGGCACTCGTCTTAGGAACACTCTTCAGTAGATTCATGGATTATGTCCACTGTTTTTTTAATGCAATTGCAACTTTTTAAAAGTGTCTTGTAATGTCCAGTTTTAGTTGTTTTTTTTAAATGTCAGGCAATGGCTACAGCTCTTGCCTGCGCGGCAGTGGGCACCCATCCTCTCAGAGCGGTGCTCAGAGTCCAGGGCAGGCCAGCACCGACCTGAGGAACGATGCAGCTCTCTCTGTGTCCAGGGGGGCCGCAGGGGTCACTGCTCTGCAGTAAGCCCTGGGTATCATGCCCTGGTCACCCGCAAACTGGCTCAGGCCCGAACCAGCTGTGTCTGGGTTACTGGGCTACACAGAAGCCCTCACAGCAAGAATGTGGACGTGAAGCGGAAGAGAGAAACTGTTTTCTTTTTACTCAGAATATGTTTTCAAAGCTATAAAAAGAGTAGTAAAATTAGGACTGGAGAAAATGGGCTTTAAAAATCATCCTCCAGCAGGTGAACTTGTGTGCAGGAAATCACAGAGAGAGGACCAAATGCAACAGGTCCTTTCTGAAGAGAAACTGACTCCACCTAGAAACCTTGTTTAATACATTGACTAGCGGACCATTTGAGAAAAGGGTAAAGTGTTTTTTTTTTAACTTGAAAATTGAAAAATCTAATATAGTAATATTTTCCATATTCCAGGGTCTGGGCAATGGGTCTCACCATGCGTTCTGAATTTCCTCATGGCACGAGCGGCCGGAAAGGCCAGAAAAGGAAAGTGCAATTGAGCTGGGGTGGTACCTGCTGGCCAGCTGGAGTTGCCATGAAAACAGGCTAGCAGCAAGCGTGACCACACTCTTAACACCTCCCGCTGTGGCGTAGCGTGGTGAGCACGCCAGGCTTGGTCCCTGCCGGTTCGTCCAGAGGCGACGGGGGCTTTCTGCTGGGCTGGGACCGAGCCTGTGGGCTGCGACTCCACACAAATGGAAGTCTGGCTGCATTTTTCACAGACACACACAGACACCTTGCGTAGGAATGCTGAACAAATAGCTGCTTCAGAAGGTGCCCTTGACAGGCTGTGCATGAATGCTGCAAACAGCGGGCCTCTTTTATCTGGTCTCCCCACAGTTCTGATTGGGAGAGAGAGAGAGAGAGGCTGTCTCTGCCTTGAGAAGCCGTGAGATAGCTGTGGAGAAAAAGCACAGTACTGTGACCCCAGCTGCTGTCCTCAGGCTCTGCTTGCCTGAAGCGTTGAGCAATTTGTTATCTAAACTCACGACCAAAAACAACAGACAGGCAGACAGACGTGGTGGAAATTCAGAGCTCCTCTGGAGATGAGTCAGTATGTCAGCGCTCTCTTCCCACACCAACAAACCTGAAGGACTGCCGAGAAAGTGAATTCGATCTTCGAGGGGCACTTGCACGATAATGAATAATTCTGATTTGTCTGCAGGTTTACAGTGTCCTCAGCAGGAGTGATGGCTTGAAACAGCGCTACCCCAGTTCAGGTCAGGAGCAGAGACCTCCCCACAGGCTGCTGCTCACATAGAGGCTTCTCCTTGGCTGCACTTGCCAATGCAACAGGACTGCTGGGGGGACTGGGACCTGCCCGGTCTGAGGCTCCAGTGGAATTTAACCAGGATGCTGGGGTTTCAGTGCAGTGGAATCTTTAAAGATCACACATAATCAGAAAATCAGTTCTGCTTCTCAATCCCCAAAAGCACAGCATCCCTGGGTTCTCTGGGCTAGAGGGCAGAGCGCCACCTACTGGCCCAGCAGCACTGTTGTCCACAGGAACCCGATTCCCCACCCAAACTCAGGCTGGCCTGCCTTCCTCAGCTTCACAGAGATCCGTTTTCAAAGTGGACCAGCCTGATGGTACGGCTTTGCCTTTCGTGTTGTGTACCATAACCATGGGCAGTGTGGTGGCTCTGTGGCTGGGAGGTTGCCGGTTCAAATCCCGCGGCCGGCAGAGGAATCCTACTCCGTTGGGCCCCTGAGCAAGGCCCTTCACCCCAACTGCTCCAGGGGCGCCGCATAAATGACTGACCCTGCGCTCTGACCCCCAGCTTCTCTCTCCCCGTCTGTGTCTTTGAGTCTCACGGAGAACAAGCTGGGGTATGTGAAAAGACAAATTCCTAATGCAAGAAATTTTATATGGCCAATAAAGTGATCTGATCTTATAACTTGGCGATTTTACCGAACCCCTCTACGCTTCAGCCACTCCTTGCGCAGCCTAGACCAGGGCCCTCCGGTCACGGGCGGCAGAGGCCGACTCTGACCTGCGCGGGTGAGGGTCTTGTAGATGGGGCTGAGGTACACCCCCGTGCTGGGCGCCCTCCTGTGCGGCTCCGGTATGAGCCAGATCACCGCCATCTCGGTGTACAGCTCCTTGGGCCGGGACTCCGCCAGCTGGTGGGCCGCGGGGTCCCAGCGCGCCCCCTCCAGGAACAGCCCGTGGATGTAGCAGCCGATCTCGGGGCGCTGCTCCAGCTCGCTGGGGGTCTCCTTCATCACCTGTGGGGGGGGGTCCACACACAAACTGTTAGAGTGACGGTCTGCGGCCGGGACGGGGGCGCTGGAGCGACAGCAGCGGTGTGTAGACATGCCTTGAAGTCGAAGGAAATGGTGTCAATGGAGATGACGGACTTGCGGGCGAAGTTCTGCAGCGTCCCGGTCAGGAAGGCCTGCGGGAAGAAGAATCCGCTGATCCAGAAGACGGGAGGGATGCCCTCGGAGATCCATTTTTCCAAGAAGCTGATCCTCTGCAGCAGGTCTGACACCCAGGAGGCCAGGGGCTTCAGGGAGGGGTAAGCCTGCAGAGTGGAGCCGAGAGGGAGAGGCCTAAACACACTACACACTACACCTGAACACTCTCCCCCTGGGCCCCAGAGTTCAGTCTTTTCACTATGGTTCTACTATGCGGTCAGACAAGGTTTCTGAGCTATGCCAGTCCTTGGCTAGAGAAGCACGGGGTCAGGGGTCAGGGGTCAGGGGTCTTGCCTTGGCATTCCACATCTGTGGCACAGTGTTGTTGAAAAGGCTGTTGGCCATGAGTTCCAGCTCAGAGGACATCACCACCAGCCCCTTCAGAGCTTTCAGCAGGTCACTGAGGCTCTGAGCGATCACCCCCAGCAGGCGATTGTACCTGAGAAACAGAGAGGCCAGAGAGAGAATAAGCTGTAGGTCTTGCTTTAAGCCTTACACTCTCCTGTTCAAAGGCCTGACCAGAGGTCTCTGGGTGGCCGGCTCTTTAGAACTATGGCAGTAAATGTGTACAGATAAAGCCTGATAAACCTCATAGCTCTGCTGAAATGAAATCCCACTCCCTCTACAGTACTTCCACACCTGGTGGAGGAGGTGGCAGCAGTGACTGATGCAATGGAGAGTAAGTTGCTATGCTGTGTCTATTTCTGCCGAGATGTGCCCTGCACCAGGCTGCTGTGTGGCTCAGCCAGTAAAAGGGCTCACCCCAGTCTTGAGCCACACAGCCCCGACATTGCCGGTCTGTACCTGCTGCATGTCAACCGACCTGACTTGACTGAGCATGTGACGGAGATAAGTGTGCATTCTGGCAACTAATAGAAAAAATAACAATCCTTATACTTATATACAGTGTAACGCTTTTCTGGACACT